CCTTGACATTAAGTCTAGTTGAGTCCAACTCTGTGGGATGGTGCTCATCTGTGTTTCTAAGCTGAAGAGCCAGCGTTGTATGTAGACATCTCCAAGGTCATGTGGGTGGTGTGACTACATGGAGTGCCGTTATCTTCCCACCGGAGTGGTAGAATCATACAATCATAGAATCAAAGAGTTGGAAGAGACCTCATGGGCCATTCAGTCCAACCCCATTCTGCCAAGAAGCAGGAATATTGCATTCAAATCACCCCTGACAGATGGCCATACAGCCTCTGTTTAAAAGCTTCCAAAGAAGGAGCCTCCACCACACTCTGGGGCAGAGTTCCACTGCTGAACGGCTCTCACAGTCAGGAAGTTCTTCCTCATGTTCAGATGGAATCTCCTTTCTTGTAGTTTGAAGCCATTGTTTTGCGTCCTAGTCTCCAGGGAAGCAGAAAACAAGCTTGCTCCCTCCTCCCTGTGGCTTCCTCTCACATATTTATACATGGCTATCATATCTCCTCCCAGCCTTCACTTCTTCAGGCTAAACATGCCCAGCTCCTTATGCCGCTCCTCATAGGGCTTGTTCTCCAGACCCTTGATCATTTTAGTCGCCCTCCTCTGGACACATTCCAGCTTGTCAATATCTCTCCAGACATCTTGTAAAGGTAAAGCTATTGATATTAAGTCTACTTGAGTCCAACTCTGTGGGATGGTGCTCATCTCTGGTTCTAAGCTGAAGAGCCAGCATTGTCTGTAGACGTCTCCAAGGTCATGTGGGTGGCATGACTACATGGAGTGCTGTTATCTTCCCACCGGAGCGGTACCTATTGATGTACTCACATTTGCATGTTTGAACTGCTAGGCTGGCAGAAGTTGGGGATAACAAAGGGAGCTCACCCTGTCCTGCGGATTTGAACTACCAACCTTCTGGTCATCTCCCAGGGATGAGGCTTTGGTAATGTCATGAACCATGGTACATTTAAGCAGCAACCAATGCAACACAGAGGGCTGTCATTTTAAAAGGAAAATCTAACAAAAATATCCCCATGCAGTTTTCAAGGTAGTTCTCTCCCCTTGAGACTCTTCTCCTTCTCCTGAAGGCTAGAGAAGAGGGTTCCAGACTCTGAGGTTGGAAACATTAAAAAGAGTCCCAAACATGCACCTATCCAAGGAGGAGCTGGCATGTCTATATTTCCATTGCATACATCAGAGAGCAAGCAAGGCATAGTGTTGGAAACCAGGGTTTGAATTCCCACTCAGCTATCAAACTCACTGGGAGATCTTGGGTGAGTCACACTCTTTCAGCCTCCTTTCTGAACAAATCTTGCCATGCAAACCCTGGGATAGGACCAGCTCAGGTTTGACATAGGTGAGAAACAACTTGGAGGCGCACAAGAAAGGACCTGAAGGAATTTATTTCCATGACCACAGTTGCCTCATTATATCCAAAGAAAACAGTGCTCCTTATATAAAACTAGCCATACCCTGCCACGCGTTGCTGTGGTCCACATGGGGGTTCTGTGTGGGAGGTTTGGCCCAATTCTATTGTTGGTGGGGTTCAGAATGCTCTGCGATTGTAGGTGAACTATTAGGGCTGGGCAGTTTCGTTTCGTAATTTCGTAATTCTTTAAAAATTTGTTATTTTTTTTATAACAAAGCGATAACGAACCATTCAGGAGCAACTAAAAAACGAAACGAATTTTTAAATTCGTTTCGTAATTGTTTCGAATTTGTTTTGTATTCGTTTCGTTATCGTTTTGAAATCGTTTCGTTATTATTTCCGCATGTCTGGGGCAAGTTTTATAGTTGTTGTTTGTTTAATCAGTGAAAAAAAATTATAAATATCACACCAACAGTCAACAACAGAGGGAGAGGGAAGCTTCAGAAGTTCCCCCTGTCCCATTTGGAGGTTTTTTTAGCGTATTGCGCGGTCGCGTCTGCCATTAACGAATCGATTCGTAATTGTTTCGTAATTGTTTCGTATTGTTTTGTAATTTACGAAATTTCGTAAATATCGAACTTTTTTTTAAAAAAATTCGGAATTCTTTTAAAAATCAAAACGCAAAACCCCCCAAAAAAGAATCGATTTTAGAAACAAATTTTTTCGTGGTTGCCCAGCCCTATGAACTATAAATACCAGCAACTACAACTCCCAAATGTCGAGATTCTATTTGCCCCCAACTCCACCAGTGTTCACATCTGGACATATTGAGTATTCTTGTACAGTTTGGTGCAGATTCATCATTGTTTGAGTCCATAGTGCTGCCTGGATGTAGGTGAACTACAACTCCAAAACCAAAGGACACTGCCCATCAAACCCTTCCAGTATTTTCTGTTGGTCATGGGAGAACTGTGTGCCAAGTTTGGTTCAATTCCATCGTTGAAGGAGTTCAGAATGCTCTTTGATTATAGGTGAACTATAAATCGCAGCAACTACAACTCCCAAATGATAAAATCAATTTTTTGAGTGATGGTCACTCCTTGTGTTGTGAGATGTTTTGTTACCAAATTTGGTGTCATTTCGTTCATTGGTTCTTTTGTTTTTAAGGAACTCATTATGCACAGAGCATTTTTATATATATAGATGGCAAAGTCAAGGTTTGCATTGGGTAGGGGGCATATTTTCAAGATGTGGATATTTATATAGAATCCATGGATTCCTCATCAACATCAATATAATTGGATAGAATTCGCCCTTTGAAAAGTTAAATAAGAGAAAGGAGGGCATGATGCACCCCAATTTTTCAAAGCACCTGGAAACTCCCCAATATTCTGCATCTCTCTCTCTCTCTCTCTCTCTCTCTCTCTCTCTAACCCTGAGAGATTGAAACCACCATCTTTCCAAACAATGCAAAGAAGAAGGAGATCCAAAATTCAATTAATGTCTGTTCATTTTCATTTAATTTTATTGTTTTTCAATCCACAGCCTAGTGATGAAAGCACACACATACATGCATACATCAAAACTTTACCAGGCAGGAACTTCCAACTTTCAGCATCTTCCCATATGACAAAGGGAGAAAACTCCTCGGAGACCCCTCCCAAAAGCCCGTAAGGAACAAACCCTGCAGCTCATTTGGATCGTGCTTTTATTTAAGGATCTAATTCTATACAGCAAAGGAAAAATAATGAAAAATTCAATTGCAAATTTGGGGTGTGGGGGTACCAAGTTATGTAACCCTCCGGCCTTGCGAAAGCGGCTCCAATCCCACCCCCCTTCTTCAAATAGCAGCTGCTGCCCCCTTTCATCATCATGCCTTGGCATCACTCTCCTGTCATCCCCATCATCCCCGTCGTTCAATCTCTCTCTCTGAATGACGGCTTGGATTTCCGGATGGGGAAGCTCTGCCTTTCTCCAAAGGGAATCTCTTGATCTGCCGGTTATATAAGTCCCCGGTGTCCTTTTATGGCTCGGCTTCCTGCTTCATCAACCAGAGCCAGAGAGAGAGAGAAAAGCCGAGCATCATTTGCGTCTGTGGGCCGGGCAAGTGATTAAGCGACTGATTCAGGCTTACTAATTGGCAGGTTTCGCGAAGATGGGTGGATTTAATTTTGTGTCAAGGCCGTGATGGGTGGGACGCCCCCCTGTCCAAAGCCTATTCATGTATTCACACACAAGGACACATCCCCCACTCCAAAATCTTCACCCCAACCAGGCATGTAGCCAGGGGGGGGGCTTGAGGGGCAATACCCCCCCAAAATTCTCATTGTGGTTCACAAAAAGGCCTTACTGGTGCATTATTTAAACTGTTATGTTTACTCATATCATGATCTGATCACCATATTCAATATATCTCATAAGCATGGGGGTATTGGGGTAATGATACAAAAAGTTTGCTAGGCTAGACCCTCTTTCACTCAGACTCAGCCCCCCCCCCGAAACCCAGCCCCCCTGAACCCCCCCTGAAAAAATTCAACCTCCCCCCCCCCGAATCGAAATCCTGGCCATTGGCCTGACCCCAACATTATTGTGGATATTATCATGCCTGTAAGTGTGTTGGACCCCCACATTTTCCCATTTGGAAAAGACAGGAGGGCACCTTTTCCCACCCACTGACCCTCTTTCTTTAGTTTGCAAAATTCTACTGGATACATTTGTATGCCGTGGGTTTTGTTTCAGAGGCAAAACCCTATGAAAAATGCATGAGGCCACTATGTCAACAGATACCTTGGAGGCACACATAAACATGCCAAATACCCTGAATGCACCAGATCCCATTTGATCTTGGATGCTAAGCAGTCCTGGTTAACTTTGAGATTGGAGACCATCAGTAAATAGCAGGTGCTGTCAGCTGTATTTTGGAGGAAGGATCCGGCAAAAGCTCCTCTGAGGCGTCTTTGCCTAAGAAGACCCTATGAAAATTCAATAGCAGGTGCTGTGGGCTGTAATTCAGAGGAAGGAACTGTCAAAACAATTTCTGAATATTCCTTGCCTAAGAAAACCCTATGAAATTTTAATGGGGTGGGCATAAGTGGACCAAAGACCTGAAGGCACATGCAAACATTCTCTCTGTGTTTAACAAAAGAGAGATGTAGGGAAAAGCATAAGGGGGCATTCTTGCCTTGGCCCCGGGGTGTGACACATTGCCTTTCAATCTCTCTCCCTCTTTTGTGAGGGGTCTCTTGGAGAGAGTGCTTTAATGAGGACCTTGCAGAGTGAATCAGTCCTTTCTCCTTCTCTGTGTGAGTGAGTAAGGGGCGTGGGAGGGGGTGTTGGAGGCTGAGAAGGAGGGAGCAAGGGGGCTGTGGTGGTGGTAGGGGGAGAGAAAGGTAAGAATTACTCATCCATCCATCCAACTGTCTGCAGAACCTTTGAAAGTGCTTCTCGACTCAAGTCTGGGGGTGTGCGGGAGGGGGTGGGCAGAGCGAGAGGGAGGGGGAGGCAAGGAGGTGTGCCAGGAGCTGTGTTTTCCACTGAATCCTTCTCCACCAATCAGGAGCCCGCTGGCAGTGAGCAAAGAGGATTGGCTACGCCCACAGATGGAGCTGCATGGAGTATAAGTATGGGTATCCGGCTGAGCCGGAGACACATCACTCAGAGAAGCTGATCAGCTCTCTCTGTTTTTGCAGCTCAGAGAGAGATTCAGAGCACTTGCTCGCTTCAAGTTCTCCGAAGGAAGGAAAGCAAGAGAGAAGCAGCAGAGGAAATACCGGCAAGAGCTTGCATCTTTGCATCTTCCTGAAGAGGACTGCATCCCTTTGGGATCAGGGATTAAAGGCAACCAGAGGATCCGAAAACTTCTTTCATTTGCTTCTTTCTCCTGGACTTGCACTGCTTTTGCACAACTGGACTTGGACAGAGACTCTTCTTGGGGGTGGTTTCTGATTCGGTTGTGTTTGTGATTTTATAGAGGGAAGCAGGAAGTCCTCTTTGGGACAGTAGGGTGGTAAGAGAACCATTTAAAGGGGATTCAATTCCAAGTAGGTGATTGTAGCTGACCTAGCAACCATGCAGCTTGAGAACTTCAACCAGGGGAACATCCACTCTTTCCAGGGTCACCGCGGGGTGGTCAACAACAGCAACAGCAAGCCCAATGTCATTCTCCAGATAGGGAAGTGCAGGGCAGAGATGTTGGAACATGTTAGGAGAACCCATCGGCACCTCCTGACCGAGGTGTCAAAACAGGTGGAGCGGGAGCTGAAAGGCCTGCAGAAATCAGTGGGCAAGCTGGAGAATAACCTCGAGGACCATGTGCCCTCGGCTGCTGAGAACCAGAGGTGGAAAAAGTCCATCAAGGCTTGCTTGTCTAGATGTCAGGAGACCATTGCACACTTGGAAAGGTGGGTCAAGAGGGAGATGAATGTCTGGAAGGAAGTCTTTTTCCGCCTGGAAAGATGGGCTGACCGGCTGGAGTCCGGTGGAGGGAAGTACTGCCATGCAGATAATACCAGGCAAACTGTCTCTGTTGGGGTAGGTGGCCCAGAGATTAGGCCAAGTGAAGGGGAGATTTACGATTATGCCCTAGACATGAGCCAGATGTATGCCCTGACACCACCTCCAGCAGGGGAAATCCCTCAGCCCCACGAGTCCTATCAATGGATCACTGCTCCAGAGGATGTGCCACCTTCTCCAGTGGAGACCCAGATTTTTGAGGATCCCAGGGAGTTTCTAACTCACCTGGAGGACTACTTGAAGCAGGTAGGTGGGACTGAGGAGTACTGGCTCTCTCAGATCCAAAACCACATGAATGGTCCTGCCAAGAAGTGGTGGGAGTACAAGCAGGACTCTGTCAAGAACTGGCTGGAGTTCAAGAAAGAATTCCTTCAATACAGCGAGGGCACCCTGACTAGGGATGCTATCAAGAGGGAACTAGATCTCCCCCAGAAGGAAGGGGAGCCCTTAGACCAGTTCCTCTGGAGGAAGAGGGACCTCTATCAGACTCTCTATGTGGAGGCTGAGGAAGAAGAGGTCATTGAGTATGTTGTAGGGACCCTCCAGCCCAAACTCAAGCGCTTCCTTAGCCACCCCTACCCTAAGACTTTAGAGCAGCTGATCCAGAGAGGGAAGGAAGTTGAGTGCAACTTTGATAACTCTGCAGATCCCAGCCCTCAGAGGACCCCAGAACACCAACTAGGAGATTCAGTAGAGATCCTGCCTCCTTCTATTACTGCTAGTCCTGCAGCGAGTGACAGGACTCAGCCAGAAGTTTCTATTCCACCAACCACAGTGATATGAGCTATGTTATGACTGAAATGCTGGTTTATTGAGGATGATGGTTTCTTACTAGTGGGAACTTTCAGCCATGGGAGGCCTGAGGATATTCTCAGTCCACTGGCCATTAGGAAGAGAATTGCCTATTCTTTGAGATGGACCATGTGGAGAACATGGTTAGCCTGAATGCTCAAGAGGGGTTCAAGCTGGAGAAATTGATGGCTATTTTGAGGATTTCTTTTTTTTAAAAAGCCATTGTAGGGACTGTACTATGTGACAAAGGCAACCAGCCTTTTCTCTGTGGCAGAACTGGCCACCTTTCTTTTGGCATTAGTTGCCAAGGGAATTAAACATGCACAACCGAAGATCCTTCCCGCTTAGAATCAGTTCTCTCCTTCAATGGACTTTTCCTTCCAGGCAGTCTCCCTTCCTTCCAGGAATCCCTTCCAAGTGTTTTCTGCTTGCCTTCATATCTATCAATGAGCATTTGCCAACTCTCGAGAAAGCTATTGCTTTCTGCATTTCTTCCTTTCCCTCTCAAACTATATTGGAGCATTTCTGGCAAGTTGCCACCAAGAGTTTCAGCCATGAAATGAACCCAATATTTGCTTTTCATTTCAAGTGGGTCTCTAGATGCTTTTGGGCTATGATATGATTATTAAGGCCTTTCAGCTCCAGAAAAACCATCATAATAATGGACTAATTTATTTCTCTGTCTTCTGAAATGTGGGAGAAGATGGGATAGCTGGGGTGGGATACTTATCTCATCAGGCTGCTAAGATGTCTTTACATTGTGGCTAGACAGTGGCAGGGGAAGGGGAGGTGTGATCAGACCTCCAAAGGAACTTGAGGAAAGATCAGATTGTACCCAAAAGCTATATGAGAGTTAGAAAGCAGGGTGGGTGGGATACACAAACACAGCTCGAATTCAGACATGAAATCAACCACACCTATGCCTCAAGACAACAGCAATGCTACATATCCCTTCTGCTGTTCTTTTGGAAAGACAGACTGGACATTTGAGTGATGGAGTGAGTTATCCAAACTGTAGCCAAGTCACAAAAACTGTTGACAGACTTCCTCCCCACCATCATACTGATTGAGAAAGAAGAGCTTGAAGAAACCTCCAAATCCAGTGCCAGCAATACTGAGAAACTTGGTTAGTTGGACAAAGTGTTGGAGAGAGCAAGAGAGAGCACTGCAGAAAGTTTTCAGCCTCTAACTGCAGAAAGGAAACTAGCGGCACCACTCAGCATCATGAACTAGTCATTGCATATATGACTAAGAACATTGACTAACAACATTGTGGATCAAAAAGAAAGCAATAGAAGGAAGAATGTGTCTGAAGGCAGCATCTGCTCCCTTTACCACCAGAGAAGCAATAAAGGACAACCTCGGGTGCGAATCCTTTCTTCAGGTTACAGGTAAGATAGCTCTTCCTTGACTAATCTGCTGTTAGATTGTGATGGGAGAACCCTTAAATTTAGAGGGCCAGAATCAGTCCTTAGAGTTGAACAAGTCAGAAAGTACTGTTTTGGAGGTTGGGAACCCGCAGGAATGAGATGTAGCTATGCTAAATTAGCTTATGATAAATTAGCAAAATATATTTATTAAAAATTGGGGCTGTTGTGGGTCATGGAAAAAATGGCCAGAACCCATGTATTCTTCAGCTGCTTCTCAGATCTAAGAGAGAATAGAAGTCTGCTAGAACTTTAGAATCATAGCAGTGAGTCATGGCTCTTGAAGTGATGCCAAACTGCACTAATTTGACAGTGTAGATACACTCCTAGTGAACCCCCTTTCCTTTCTGTCTCCCAGTCCCTGAAACTAGCACCCAAGAGAGCTTTTGCAGTCCTTCCAGCTTGCTTAAATGTTTACCATTCTCTGGCTGTCAAAAAGCAAGATAAGAGGGAATCAGGCTTCTGGGAACAGACTGGCAGCTCCCTAGTTCCTAGGCATCAGTGCACTCTCTACTGTGACAGCAGACAAAAACTTGAGTTTGGGGTCACACAGAGAGAGACAAGTAAAAAGTACAAAAAGTAAGGCATGGGATGTCGCCACCGGCTCAAAAAGCATGATCTTTTTTTTTCTTCCAGTGAGTCATTTGAGAACTGCTGCGATCAAGCTAAGCACTTCCTGAATCACATGTGGAGCAGAGATGGAGTTGGAGAGATGGCTCAGAATCAAAAAAGGCAACATGCAGCGGAGCTGGTCGGACATCGGACTCCAGGGGCTTCTGCTTCTCCCACAGAGAGATTGCCCAGAGAAGGTAATGAGCTTTCTTGGCTTTAGTAACTGAATTATTCCTCTTGTTAGGAAGTGCCAGGTCCCACTATGCTTGTTAAAATTCTTCCTACTAGAAGGAAACATTTTGACCCCTCTTTTGGGATACCACTTTGGAGAAGAGATGGACCTCACAACCTCTGAGGATGCCTGCCATAGATGCAGGCGAAACGTCAGGAGAGAATGCTTCTAGAACATGACCATACAGCCCAAAAAACCTACAACAACCCAGAGATGATAGAGTTTCTCCCTTCAGGGAGTGGGAATATTCCCTAAGAGGGAAGAGTGAGTTTTCAGGAGAATGACAGGAATTCCGAATATTAGGAATGTCACCTGTAGATCACTTCCTTATACCGTACTTGGCCCCCAAGGTCCTTCCTGACCTTGTTCATGTGTGCCTAAAAGTCATTTCTAACTTAGGCACACATGGACAAGGTCAGGAAGGACCTTGGTGGCAAAGCTATCATGGGGTTATCTAAGACTGAAATGTGTTAGTCTCCAAAGTTACGTAATGGATTTCCATGACCAAGTGAGGAATTAAACTCCAGAGTTATACTCTAGTGCTCAAACCATTGCATTACACTGGCTCTTCCCTAGCCATGCAGAATTTACTTGTCACAACTTTCCCAAGTTTTAGAGAATCTCTATATTTCTTCTCTTTGCTCCTGAATCCACCAGCTAACCATTATTTCATTCTTATATTGTAGGACATGCATTTCCTTCTCCGACTACAGAGCCAACTCCTTGATTGTCTGTCTCTCAACTTTCATCATATGAGGAGAAGACACATTCAGATGTGAAAGTACAGCTCAGAAAGATGGAAGTGACATACTTGTCAACCTTTAGGGGCAGATGCTACAGCTCTGGGGGCATGAAAGGAAGCATGGTTGCAAACAGAAGAAAAATGGCTTCCAGTAGACCACATCAATGAGTGAAGCAAGCAATGTCTGAAAGCAGTGGCTACAGAAATATGGACTCTGAGGCTGGGGACATCAAGGGTGGTTGAGGTTCTTCAAGTCTTTTGATTTTGAAAATGTTTGGAACTGAGAATAACTGTGAAGAATTGGGGGGATTAAGCTAAAAAAATATCCACATTCTGTTGAGTTGACCTGAAAGGTCAGTTAACATAGTGGCTCAAGGTGAAGGACATTTCAGAGCAGCATCTTGAAATGAAAGGTGTGTGTCTGAATGGCAGAAATGAGTCCAATCACCACAAGACAGCAACGAATGAGTCATATCCATCTTCCCACATTGACATTCCTCTTTTGTGTCCTGTACTACCGAAGGAAGCGCAAACAGATATACCATAGTATGCAGTATGCATTTACTAGATTATTTTTTGATGTTCAAATTGCTGTCACTTCATGTTCCACCTGTCAAACAGGTTGGATTGGAGATGGTTTGGGGTTTTATTTTCTTCATTTCTTCCAAAACCATGTGGTTCTATAGTAGGTGTGACTGTGTACAAACGTTAGCTAGACCTTCAGAAAGGCCTAAATAGCCATACTGGACTTTTTAATTTCTGCAAGCATTATTTGCAAAAGCAACCATATGGTATCATAGGTCTTTTTAGAGCTGGCTGAACCAATGGCTGGATATTGACTTCTAACCAGCAGGAGCTTTCTCAGTAGCACTTCTGTTCATCTATTATCAGATTTCTCTGAGAGATGTAGTTGTGCTACACTCCTGAGCGAGAACCACGTGGGAAGACATGTGCATGATGCATCCGTACAACCAAAAAAAACCAAAACAAAACATTGCTCCTGATTGTTTGTATTGCATTTCTCCATCCAGATTCTAGTTTTTACTACTGGGTTTTTACAGTTTATTGTGTATTGTACAGAGCGTAGGGTTACTAATGCATTATGAATTTCCTTGCTGCCAAGACTGGGGGGCTCAAGGATTCTTGTATGCGCCAATGACTTTGATTGTATGAGCCCACTTATTCCTCATGTTATCACATTTGTGGTGACTCATAAGAGGCTGTGTCAGCCACTGCTGTATTTTTTTCTTCGAAAAATGGCATTCTTCAGTTACAAAACCAATTGTAGCAAAGTGTGTTCAGAGCAAAGATATTTTTTCTTTTGAAGATTTCTACAATAAAATATATGCGTAAATAGAGATAACCTTGTCTCGCTCTTCCTTTCCACCCACGTCAAATACGGTCCATTCATGACATGGAATGGCAAGGTCAAAGAAGCTGGAGTCCACTTTGCTTCTTAGTATTTTTGGGTGCATGATGAGGGGGTGTGGGGTGGGGGGAGAATCTCTTTCATCCTACAGAATTACAACTGGCCCTCTATATTTGTGGTTTAGGTTTATGGATTTTATGACCAGTTTCCAGTGGTTCCTAGGAGTGTCCTCTGTGGGAACAACATTTTTAATTCAAGGTGTCTTCACTTTCCCATGGATCCCGATCCATTAAGCTCTGTGAAAGTGGAGAACATACTCTATATAGAATCAGAATGGTCCAGAACAGGACCCCTCTGTGGTATCCCAATGGTGACTTCTCCCCAGGATGAAGAGGAGGAGTCATTCATAAAATCATAGAATCAAAGAGTTGGAAGAGACCTCATGGGCCATCCAGTCCAACCCCCTGCCAAGAAGCAGGAATATTGCATTCAAATCACCCCTGACAGATGGCCATCCAGCCTCTGTTTAAAAGCTTCCAAAGAAGGAGCCTCCACCACACTCGGGGCAGAGAGTTCCACTGCTGAACGGCTCTCACAGCCAGGAAGTTCTTCCTCATGTTCAGATGGAATCTCCTCTCTTGTAGTTTGAAGCCATTGTTCCGCGTCCTAGTCTCCAAGGAAGCAGAAAACAAGCTTGCTCCCTCCTCCCTGTGGCTTCCTCTCACATATCTATACATGGCTATCATATCTCCTCTCAGCCTTCTCTTCTTCAGGCTAAACATGCCCAGTTCCCTAAGCCGCTCCTCATAGGGCTTGTTCTCCAGACCCTTGATCATTTTAGTCGCCCTCCTCTGGACACATTCCAGCTTGTCAATATCTCTCAATTGTGGTGCCCAGAATTGGACACAATATTCCAGGTGTGGTCTAACCAAAGCGCAATAGAGGGGTAGCATGACTTCCCTAGATCTAGACACTATGCTCCTATTGATGCAGGCCAAAATCCCATTGGCTTTTTTTGCGCCACATCACACTGTTGGCTCATGTTTAACTTGTTGTCCACGAGGACTCCAAGATCTTTTTCACACGTACTGCTCTCGAGCCAGGCATTGTCCCCCATCCTGTATCTTTGCATTTCCTTTTTTCTGCCTAAGTGGAGTATCTTGCATTTGTCCCTGTTGAACTTCATTTTGTTAATTTTGGCCAATCATCTCTCTAATTAGTCAAGATCATTTTGAATCCTGCTCCTGTCCTCTGGAGTATTGGCTAGTCCTCCCAATTTGGTGTCGTCTGCAAACTTGGTGATCATGCCTTCTAGCCCTTCATCTAAGTCATTAATAAAGATGTTGAACAGGACCGGGCCCAGGACGGAACCCTGCGGCACTCCACTTGTCACTTCTTTCCAGGATGAAGAGGAAGCCTTGGGAAGAATCACCCTCTGGTTTGTCCATTTAACCAATTACAGATCCACCTAGCCGTAGTTTTACCTCACCCACGTTGGACTAGTTTCCTTGCCAGAAGGTCATGGGGGACCTTGTCGAAGGCATTCCCCGCATCTACCCAGCTTGTAACTCTATCGAAAAAAGAGATCAGATGAGTCTGGCATGACTTGTTTTTGATAAATCCATGTTGATTCGGGTGTCTACCAGAATCTGGCCAGCAGAAACAGATCAAGGTTAAACTGAAATGTGCAAGCCTACTGGCTGATTGGTAACCAGCAGGGTTACCATGTCACCACACTGATCCCCTGACAAAGCCCCCAATTTTTGCCCCTCCAAATCCCCTTTGTGAGAATGAGACCATGAACTTTGCTCCCTTGGGTTCTTTTAGGCTTAGACGAGGCCATGTATACAACAGGAAAATGGATTACACGACCTTTATGGCATCACTCCATAAAGGTCATCTACTTCCATAATGCTGTGTGACAGATTTACCTTATAGTACTCATATATAAGTCTAGTAATTTTAATTAATTAAAGAATCAATCCCCTGAATCTGGGTTGACTTAACCAAGGATCAGTGTGAATACTGTGCCTTAAATCTTTTCAAAGAAGGACCATTCCCTTTTTGAAGCAGAGTGTCAAATGGCTCGGTAGCAGATCTTAAAAGAAGCACCAGCCCCTCTGCTCTCTTTCTGGCCTTTTTCAATGCCTGGGTTGGGAAATGGTGCCGTGATCAGAGTCAGCTGGCTACCCAAATTGATATTGGTGCTTTCCCCGCTCCATGGGGTGACCCTCGATTTATGCATGAGCAATATCAAAATCCATAATTTTGGTCCCCAAATCTGCCCTCAATTTATACATGAGTATATTCGGTAGCTAACATATTTCCCGTGGGTACGAAACACCTGAGTGTGCGATGAGTCATGACTGTAATTGTCACTGTTGGTTAAATTACAAATCAGCTGCAACAGATTAATCCGACCTGTTCCTGGTGGAGGTCTCGCTGGGCAGCACAGAGCGACGCCAAGGGAATGTGGAAATGAAATCATTTCTAATTTCCGTTCCTCCAAGCAGAGGAAGGTAGAATAGCTTTGATTGGGAAGCCGGCTGTCTGCCAGCCTTTAACAAGTCACTGTGATGAGTGATTCTTTTACCAAAGTGCCCTCATGAGCTATTTATTTATTATCCTTCATGGACATGAGCTGGTTTCATTACCAACTTGGCCCTGCGCTGCCACAAGAACATTCCCATGGAATTGAATTACAGTTGCTACTTCTGCAAAATAGGCTCCGAAAAGTGACTTTCTGGACTGCAAAGCCTGTGGATTTTTGGTGTTACAATCAAAAGTCTCGCTTTTCCTGGAGTGTTTTTCACTGGAGTCTTTTTATGGCCTCATAAATTAGTTAATTAGCCTCCCCACACATAGGTGGTACCTAATTTTCCTACTTGACAGATGCAACTGTCTTTCAGGTTGCAAAGGTCGACAACAAGCTACACAATTGGCCGGACACTCACTCCAACCCAGGCTGGCTTTGAACTCATGACCTTCTGGTCAGAGTGATCTTAATGCAGCTGACACTCAGCCAGCTGTGCCACAATCCTGGAGTAGATTAATAGATACCACTTCTGCAGGAAGGAAATGGCACTCCATTCAGTCATGCTGGCCACACGACCTTGGAGGTGTCTACAGGCAACACCAGCTCTTCGATTTAGAAATGGAGATGAGCACCACCCCCCATACGGGCATGACTAGACTTAATGTCAGGGAAAGCCTTTACCTTTACCTAGAGAATATGGAATAGTGCAACGACATTTTGGAACGGCCATAGACTATGACTTTGGATAACATGATGTTAAATAAGTGGTTTTAAGGCTTGATATGTTTTTAATGATTTTTTAAATGTATATGCTTACTTTAATATGTATGTTTGCATGGCATTGAATTTCTGCCTGTGTATGTAAGTCGCCTTGAGTTCCCCACGGGATTAAGAAAGGCAGGGTATAAATTTGGTAAATAAATAAATAAACATGATGTAATGATTTGAGGTGTGGACAATGAGTCTGGGGACTCGGATTCAGTTCTCCTTTCAGCCATAGAAGCGCATGAGATGACCTTGGGAGAGTCAAACATTATCAGATGCAGAAATGCTTGGTGATAAGGTTGCCTTAAAGTTGCTGTAAGTTGGAAATTATTTGAAGACACAGAGCAACAGTAACACATTATATAAGAAATTTCCTCCTCTACTTACAGTTTCTTGATAATATTTTCTGTCTTGGCCATATAGAAAGCAAACACTTGGGAAGTTCCACCAAGATGTCAACAATTTCCACTCCACCATCAATTTGGAACAATCCACATCACAAATTCATTTTTTGTGATGTAATGGTTATCTATGCACCACATTCTCTCAGTGTTTCACTGATTGTTACACATATGTTTCCCTATTTTCCACCAAATCTATTGTTGACACTCAGCTAAGCCCTCTGACACAACTGCATTTACTCAGACCCACAAGACTCAAAACCCTTAGATTTACAACAAGCAACAAGCCTTCGACAATACATTACAAGAAGCACTTCTCAACCTATGATACTCAGCCAAGGAAGTGGAGAAACAAATTGACAACACAAGATTAATACCCAGGAAAAAAAATATACTGCATGAAGACCAGAAAAACAATGACAAAACACCCAGAGTTGTCACCTTCAGTCTCTTGCTAAGAGTATTAAATGGAGCATCGAGGAGCTATAACCAATTTTGGAGTATAACACAGTGCTCTCATATGTTTTTTATTGGCCTACTGACAGCCTCCAGATATTAAACAACTACTCAGTTACAACAGGATACACAATATGGATGGTATTACAGAGACAAGACTTTCTTCATGGCAGGGGTATGGACAAAGGCATACTACACATTTTATAACAGTAGTCTTTGCTCCTGCAGATATAACAAGAAGGATCTTCTCAGAGAGAGTTTGAACCACGGGAAACTGACAACTTGAACACGTTTGGTAAGCACTTTTTTTTGTTTTTCATTTAAACATTAACTGACCACTGTAAAGATTGTAAAGACTTGTATCAACTTACTCAGGCCTTAGAAAATATAGGTCTGGAGACATGATTTGTACAAGTGGAAGATAACAGAAAAACCTGGAAGGGCTTTTTTAGCCCCAGCTCTGCCATTCTCTTGGGATGCATCCTTGTGTCTTGAGCCAGATGCCTTTTATTCTGGCTCTATTCAGAAAAGCCTTCAAAGAGATCCAATCTCTGCCTAGTTCTGTGTTCCAATTCTTCTACTAGGCTTCCATTGCACTGGAGCAGTCATAGCTGGCAGCTCCCAAGTGATTCAGACAATTTGGTTTAGCTCGGAAGTGGCTCTCTAAGATGCTGAAATATTTTAGGAGTATGATTCAGTGCCTTGGAGAGCTTCTTTGGAGGCTGGAGTAAAACCTGGCATGAATTACTTTCCACAATAATATGTGAGCTACCAAATAATATGATGCTGAGATGCATCCCACACAAAAAACAGTGTCAGAAGGCAAG